TCTTTAGGCCGTCCACTATCGTCCGGTTAGCATTTTCAACTTGGCCATTTCCCTGTGGATAAGCTACTGAGGCCTTGCTGTGCTTGATTCCAAAACTAGCCAAGTACTCAGTGAACCGGGGGTTACGAAACTGCGGACCATTGTCGGTAACAATCATCTTCGGGGCACCAAACCGGGTGATAATGTTTTTCCAAACAAATTTCTCACACTGCCGCACGGTTATGGTAGCCATTGCCTCGGCCTCGACCCATTTAGTGAAGTAATCAATAGCCACCATCACGAACTTCTTCCCGCCTTGGGCGACCGGGAAGGCTCCAATAATGTCAATCCCAAACCGGGCAAATGGTATGACATTAGACGTTGGTTGGTAGTATGTGGCCGGTCTGCCGGGATGTTTGTAAAATACCTGGCACGTCCTACATCTCTGGACATACCGCTCACAATCCCCCACAATGGTCGGCCAGTAGTAGCCAAGCAATATTATCCTTTGAGCCAGGGTGCGAGACATTTGATGGGCCGCACAAACTCCCTCATGCACCTCAGCTATTACCCGTTCAGCCTCTGGGTTGGTAAGGCAACGTAAGAGAGGTCCACCGATGGCACGTTTGTACAAGTGACCATCGATTACCTGAAAACGGGGAGCCCGCAGGACCACCTTCCTGGCCCGTTCCTCGTCATCCGGTTTCTGACCGGTCTCCAAATATTCCATGAGATCGTGCCTCCAGTCATCATCTGCTCCGATTGTCCCGGTAGCCGAATTCTGGCCCGGTTGGATAGCCGCGATTTCAAACCGGTCTGTACTCGGCACGTCCATGATCTCAATTTTCGCCAACTTCGACACATGCTCCGGGCAGGCTTGTGTCAATTTTGAAAGCATATCTGCATCAGCGTTTTCCGACCGGGGTATCCTAGTCAGACGAAACTCTTCCAATTCCCTTAGAAGCGCTCGGACCAGATCACTATACCGGGCCAGCCGATCCTCTTTTACTTCCATCTCACCATTGACCTGTCCAACCACTAGACTCGAATCGGAACGGATCTTCATCCTTTTTATTCCGAGTGTCCGGGCTAATCTGAGGCCACCGGCCAACGCCTCATACTCTGCCTCATTGTTGGTGAGTTTGAAGTTGAAGATCAAGGCATGGTAGATCTTGAATCCTTCCGGGGTAGTGAAGACTACGCCGGCCCCGCATCCCTTCGTTCTAGAGGCTCCATCAACGGCCATGTCCCACCATGGTTCGACCGTATGGGAGGGTCCGGCTTCGGGCTCTAGACCGGTCAGTTCAACGAGGAAGTCTGCCAAAGCTTGACCCTTAATTGCAGTCCTTGGTTTATATTCTATTTTGAACTGGGTGAGCATCATCGCCCACTTGAACAACCTTCCCGAGGAGGTTGAATTTCGAAGGACCGGTCCAAGTGGCTGATCGGTCAGTACTTCCACGGTGTGAGCTTGGAAGTATGCGGTTAGTTTTTTGGCCGTGATGAAAAGCGCGTATGCCGTTTTCTCAATGGCAGTGTACCGGCTTTCAGCCCCATTTAATGCTTTGCTCACATAGTAAATAGGCCTCTAGCCGTCTTCATTTCTTATCAAAACAGAGCTTACAACGTTTTGGGAAATGCCTAGGTACAAATACAAAGTCTCACCCGGTTTGGGTTTCGACAAAACAATATCAGAGACTAAGTACTCCTTCAGCTGCTGGAAAGCTTCCTCACACTCCCGGTCTCACTCGAATGTGTGGGCCTTTTTTAACACCTTGAAGAAAGGCAGAGCCCTTTCAGCAGACCGGGAGAGAAACGGCTCAAGGCTGCTAGCCGCCCGGTAAGTCGTTGTATGTCTTTCAGCGAACTGGGCGACCTCATTTCAGTTATGGCCTTAATCTTCTCCGGATTAGGCTCAATACCACGCTTGGTCACCATAAACCCTAGAAACTTGCCGGTCTTTACAGCAAAGACGCATTTCTTGGGATTGAGACGCAAGCTGTACTTAGCCATAATCTCGAAGCAAAGCCTCATGTCAGCCGGGTGATTTGTCGCGCCCGGGCTTTTGATTAGCATATCGTCCACGTAAGCTTCCATGGATTTACCGAGGAGTGGCTTAAAAAGCCGGTTCACCATCCTTTGGTAAGTGGCGCCCGAATTCTTTAGTCCAAAGGCCATCACCTGGTAGCAATAAGTGCCTTCTGGAGTCAAGAAGGAAGTCTTCTCCTCGTCCTCCTCAGCCATGAAAATCTGATGGTAGCCTTTGAAAGCGTCCATGAAGCTGAGCAATTCACACCCGGCCGTCTCATCGACCATCTGATCGGGACTGGGCAGCGGGTATGAATCCATGGGGCATGCCTTGTTCAGATCCGTGTAATCCACGCACATGCGCTAGGTGTCGCCTTTTGGAGCCAAGACGACGTTAGCCAGCAAGGCCGGGTATTGTACCTCCCGTATGTGCCCGACCGCCAACAAGTCCTTGACTTCTTTCTTCACAAAGTCCCTACGGACGATCGCCAAGTGCCTCTTCTTTTGTTTCACATGCCGGCTCCCTTCCATCACAGCCAAACGATGGCATATGACAGAACGGTCAATGCCCGGCATGTCCGCCACACTCCAAGCAAAAATATCTGCATATTCCCGAAGAACTGAGATGATTTCATCTCGAAGTCCTCCGGGCAGATCTCTTCCGATCCGTACCATTCTTTCTGGGAAGGCTTCTCGGAGAACAATCTGCTCAGTTTCATCGCCCGGCTCTAGCTTCGACCGCTCTTCTTCTTG